AAAGGCAGAGCCCTGCACTCTAATGATAGCCTCATGAAGAATTGTCAGTGTCTCTAAAATCTCAAATCAATCACAACAAAGCTCCCTATATATGGCTGGGCTTAACTGCTATAACCAGAGTTTTTTGTCATGTTTCTTTTGCTCTGAATTTTTCTACTGATTCTGTTACTGTAATTTAATAAAGTATTTCAAATGTCCTGCTTATTATCTTATCTACTTTTAAGGTATTTTATTATTTCAGTAAATTATGCCAATACTAGTAATATAGATTCTCTTCTATGAATAATGGTAACATCTATTTATTTTATTAGCAGGCCAGGGAGCAAAGAAATTACAATTCCATTCCCATTTATTTTATAATTCAATCTAAGATGTCTTAAATGTGCCCACAGACCTCACTGTGCCTAGCAATAGATGGTCAGGAAATGACTTCTAAATTGGATTAACCTTTCAGTTTTCACTGAAATAAATTATTATTCTATTTCAACTGAAGCTAGTTACTTGTCTTTTATCTCACTTCCCTTTAAAGGGTTTTCCTAACACAGCAACCTCACAGTTGAGTCACACACCGGGTCTGTTCAGCACAACTTTTGAAACTCATAGTTTCAGGAACTCAGTAACAGTAGCTAACATTCAAAGAGGACTTAAGCTGAGTCAGGTCCTCTTCTAAGCCCCTAATACTTAAAATCCATACGTTAAATCATATGCTGCTCACAAAAACTCTCTAAGGCAGGTATTACTCCTAATTCACATATGGGTTAAATAACTTGCCCATGGTCACACAGCAGCCCATACTCTTCTATAATAATCTTTCTCATGTTCTACTTAATGTTAGTCCACTGCTCATGTGGTGGATGGTTCCACAAATTTTATGCACGCTTATGTTCTCAATTATCCTCAGAAAAAAATATGCTATAAGAAAGTAAACAACATAAGTTGTAAGCTTTAAGTGTTATATAAATATCAAACAGCTTATTAAAAACAAGAACTATTGATATATCTATTCTAAAGAATTGAAATGAAAGACAACAAAGTATAACTCTTACCTCTTCTGATTACGATGGTTTGGGAACTGAAAACTAATTTTTCTGAAATGGGGATGGCATTCTTTTTACAACTCTGAAGGAACTCTCCCTGCTGTCAGTTGGAATAAAAGTGAAGTGCAAGCCCTCTCCCTGGAGACATTTTATGTTTCTTCTTCCTTCATTATACTCAGAGATGGCCAATCTGAATTGCTGACTACCCAAATACTGTTGATATAGAATCCCATATTTCAGGTTTGAGACTATTTTCCTTCAGTGCTCTCGTTGCACAGACAAATTTTTGCTAAGTTCCAAAAATTTCAGCAGGTGGAAACATCATGGAAATGGAAACTTACCCCCAACATATTTCATTTGGAAACTGGAGTTCAGAGCAAGTCATAAAAATTTAATTTAAGTAAGATTTATTGATTGCCTATAGTGTGCACGGTCCTCTATTAGACACATTGAAATTCAGGCACAAAACAGACACAAAATATCTGGCCTCAGGTACCTTATCATCTAACTAGTATAATACAGATTAGAAAGAGTAAACAAACAAGTTACATGGATGGAAATGGTCACGTACTAGAATCAACATTAAAGAGCAGTAATTTAAGTAATCCAAAATGGCATCTAATCCTAAAATCATTTATAAAATGTATTTAGCTTTAAAATCCACAGCACTTCAAAGAAGATAATGAAGTTCCACTGCAGATAAAGTCACAAAGATACAAATACACTTAAGAGTATTATTAATGACTTTTGTTATTTTGGATCTTCTGTTTTCTTCTTATTATTGTTCGAAGCCTCCGTAATACCAGTTTATCAGACAGAAGCATGTCCTCTTGTTGTTCTAGATAATCCAGTAAATTTTCGGTCCATTCAAGTGCAGCTTTATGGCTAATATGCTTCTCTGGATTCAGTTCTGCTTTTCTAGTCTTATTGGAATGTTTTTGTTCAGCAGGCTTGGCCTGGTCCTCAGCACTTTCACTGTCTGTTAGCACCTGACAGCTTGAGTCATTGCTCCGAGAGTCAAACCACTGATCAATATTCTCAATGTCAACGTGTTCACAGTCTTCTGTATTCTGTAAAACTGTTGCTAAGTTAGCTGCTAAAATGGCTCCTTCATCAATGTTCATGCCTGAATTCTCTTCATTGCTAGGAAACAGTTTTTTCCATGCTTTGGTTATGGTACTAGATTTTACCATGTTCCAAGCTCTTGATACTTCATAAATTGCATCCAACACTGTCAAATTTTTCCAAAACATTTTTGGGTCAATTCCTTCACCCATGTATTTCTGAAGAAGTCCTGCTCGGTAGTATCTTTTTACTGTGGCTAGAACCCCCTGACTCATAGGTTGAATTAGACTTGTGACATTTGGTGGCAAATATTTCACAATTATTCTGCCATCATCTGAACTCAATAATTCTTCATTTGGATGTGCTGGGGGAAAATCCAAAAGAAGCACTGCTTTTTCTAGAAGCCCCTGGGATTTCAAATGCTTCTGTACCTGTGGCACAAAGTACTTTTCAAACCACTGTCTGAAAACAGAATGTTCTATCCATGCACTTTTTTGACTGAAGTAAGTGACAGGAAGGTTTGAAAGGTCAGCTCCTTTGAACGCACGGGGTTTTTTTGCTTTTCCCACAACACAAAGATTAAGTTTGTGTAAACCAGTGGCATTTGCACAACACATAATAATGATTCTCTCTCTGCTTGACCTATAACCAGAAGTAGTTTGTTCAGTTTCAAGAGCTAATGTCCTTGATGGTAGACATTTCCAGAACAATCCAGTTTGATCAGCACCATAAATTTGCTCCGGTTGTAGATTCTCTCTCTCGACAAATTCCTGAAAGTTACCGCAAAATTCACTGGCAGCAGTTTCATCTCCTTTTAATTTTGTTCCTTTACCAGCAGCCTTTGGAATACCATGGCGCTGCTTAAATCGAGTTAGCCAGCCAGATGATGCATTAAAATCACCTTCCATTCCCAGAGCATCAAAAAAGAATTTGGCTTGTTTTGCACAAATTGTTCCGGACACTGGAATCCCATCTGTTTTCTGTTGGTTAAACCACTCTATCATAACCCTATCAAGTTCCTCGTATGTCGATGACTTCATTGATTTACGTTTGGACACCCCACTTGTAGGATCTGAACTGTTTGCATAGTTTATTATCCTTTCTTTGTTCTTTTTAATATCACGAACCGTGGATTCACCAATTCCATACACTACAGAAAGCTTTTTGAAAGATATGCCTTCCTCAAGTTTCTTAATAATGTCAAGCTTGTCCTTAATTGTCAACACCACACGCTTACGTTTCCCCAACATTTTAAATGTCCAATATTTTAAGCAATTACTAGAACAAGATATTTAACAACTTAGATTTGAATACAATGAGACTAGAAAATGGGGTTTTAAGATCCCTTCCCTTCTCCGCAGGACCTAGATGGATGGTATGCTGGCCAATTTCCAGGCCAGGCCTATGTGACTCTCTTCACTTTGTTGTTTAAAGCCTACAAAGTTCTTTCAACAGGGACTAGTTTTAACTAAACCTATCTTCTTTCTTCCTCCTTACTTAGTTTAAGGTCTTTTCATGAACTGCAATCTCAAAGGAGACTGCAACCAATCTGTACCAGTAAGGTCTCTAAAACAGTCCTATTGTGTATTTAATTCTTCTTTTCATTACAGGTAGAGACTCTTTGCTAAAGGAACTAAGACTCAGGTGGGAGTACTTTGAGAAATGTGCCAGGGATAAATAGTTTAAGAGAGGACTTGTAGACATGACATATGGGAAAATATAATGGAAAAACTCATCCGCTGACGCTGTCTTTGTCAGGCAATGTACTGTATGGAATACAGCCTCTTCAGGGCAAGGACTGCTAGAGATTAATTATTCAAGTGAGTGGTTATGGAAATCATAGGCAGGCGAGATAAGGCAAGCTGGACAGAAGTGAGCAGTGCAAATAAGGTGAAAATGGACAGGCAGAAAACTTTGTACTTTAACATGACACAAACTTATACCTAATGTATTTGGCAACTGGAAAGGCAAAAGGCGGACAAGAGGTGGTGTCACATGATTAAAGCAAGCATCAAAAACTTCATTGGTAGAAATCAGAACTCATGGTAGAAGGTATGGAGTGGAAGGCTCAGTGAAGATGTTAAAATAATCCTGGTGAAAGATGATCCTCGATGGGCCAACAGAAGTAGTTCCTGTGGGGAGCTGTATAAGCACTCGGTGCCTCCGAAACCTAAAGGAAAATACCAAAAACATTTTTTTTTTCAATATCAGGGTCTGTGGCATTACTCGTATCTATCCTGCAACTATATTGAGAAAATTAACGCCTCCTATCAGTGTGATGGCAAAATCCGACAAATAATGCTTTTAGGCATTATCTGGAGTGACAGCGGGACCTGAATTGCCTACCTCCTGAAATTAAGAGGTCAGAGACAAGCCGCGTTAGCGAGGGCCTCTCCCCGCAGGGCGAGCTCCGGAGCGCGGGACGTCTTTGCTCACGCGGAGGGAGCCCGGATTCCTCCGTGGACGCCGGCGACCAGGGTGTCACCGCCGCAGCGAGCGAGCGCTTGGCCCAGGGGACGCCAGTCAGCGGGCCGGGGGCATCACTCTCCGCCAGCCCGCGCGGGGGCCAGACCGCCCTGAAAGCAAATGGAGTCTCTAGAGGGTGGCTGACACTGGTGGCGCGGCGGCAGCGGCAAGCGGCGAGCGTCGCCGCCGGAGCCGGAAGGCGGGGGATTAGGGTGCACGCGCGCGCCCCCGCAAGAACGCTGTGTCGGCAAGGGGGTGGGGCCTGCGCGGGCGAGTGCGCGCGGCCCGGGGGCGGGGTCTTCGGCGAGAGGGCGGGGGCGGGGCCGGCCGCTGCAGCTTCTTTAGGCGCGGCGTGGGTTCGGCTAAAGCCCTGCCTGCTCTAGCCTGCAGACTATTTAGTCGGCCAGCAGGGGGCGGTCCAAGTCCACCCTGTCTTGGCCCTTCTTTCAGTGGCTCTCCTCTGGGGGCGAGGCTTCCTCCTCTCTCAGGTGGAATAAAAATCGCACCCTCTGAGGGCTCTGGAGAAAGCTACTCATCCTCAGGTGCCACGAGCGGCTTGCGAATGGGGCTGGGCGAGCGCACGTGGAGCGTGTTTACAAATAGCGGCCGCTGCACCCGTGCGTTCCAGCGCCGGTCACCTGGGGCTGGAGGAGTCGGAGCGAGGATCATGAGCAAAGGTAGAAGCGAGCAGATGCGGTTGCTGGCCGAGGGCAGGAAGGCTAGCTCCCTTTGGGGTTCAGGAGAGGAGCTGGGCTTACATTCTGCATAATCTACCTGAGCAAGCCCGGGGTTCCTGAGGTGCAGCAGGGGTTGGTCAAACTGGGTATCGAGTATTCCCTCCCTGGTTGCGATGCTCCAGGGTTGAAGTCACAGTCACCATAGAAGCGGACCCTGTGCAAGACGGACAGCACCTGGGAGACGCGTGAGCCCGTGGGAGACTCCCTCGTGAGTTTCCTGCCGCCCCTTTTCTCCTTCTGCTTCTCGGTAGTAATGAGGAAATTTGCAGTTTGACAAATAGTCCTTTGGTTTATTTTAAGTGGAGGTAGCATTAGTTTCTATTTTGGAATTCTAAATGGACCGAATGCCAGCACTTGTGTACTAATAACCTCTGCGTTGAACCATGCCAACTCCCCCTTCCCGGACTCCGTTCCTTATGGCGGGCGGGGGGGGGGGGGGGTTGCTCAGAGCCTTCCCAGGGGAAGGGAGTGGCTGCACCTCCATCCTGCAGCACCTGTTTACCAAGGAAACGCGTTTAGCCTTCTCTCTCTCTCTCTCTCTCTCTCTCTCTCTCTCTCTCTCTCTCTGTGCGTGCATAATACTTTGAAAAATGGAAAAGGCTAAAGTTTCTCCAATACCCTAACATAAATGTCTATTCATTTTCGTTAACATAAAGTAGCATGGTAATTCGTCATTTATTTGTAAAGGCCATACTGTTGCTAAAACGTTTCATAAGGGAACTGACCTGAGCATTCATACTGCAGCAAAGAGATGATTGTAAGGCTTCTAACTATCTGACTCCCGCGCCCAAACTGCTCAATTGCCTACCTGAAAATCGCAGCTTTCCTCTACCTGGCATGATGGAAAATCTGTGATCTCCTAGTTATGCTGTGAAGTAGTTTTAGACAAATACCTGCTTCCCCCTCCTCCCCCCACCCTTCCTCCCAACTATCAACCAAGCAGTTTCTGCAAGTTTGGTTGACTATTTGAGGTAAAGTACAACTTCATGCAAGTTTTAGATCACTTTTAAAAGTTTGCCCCCCCCATAGTTGTAAGAAGCGTGAAAACAGTTGTATCTGATATGGTATCCATTCCTTAAGGAAAAAGAGCCGATATGTACCGACTACCAACCATTGGTGGTGGCATGTAACCAGATGTTAGCCCCCTGGCCTTCTCCCTCACCCGCCAGCCTACTGGGGTCACTGGGTCCTATTATATATTTAAATAAAGTGACCCCTGACTCTTCTCTCCCTTGCCCGATATCTCTGAGGTTTAATTTCTTTCCAGATACCCCTTGGATCATTTCTCCGTTTCTGCTGATTCTCCAGCTTGATCATGTCTTGTCTCTTAGAACTGTTCCCTTTTCATCACCTTGTGTGAGTTTAAATCTGGAACACAGCCCATATGCCTTGGTTGCCTCAAAACACCACCTCCCACAAGGCAGTTGTATTTAGTAGACTTATTAATAAGACTTGACTTTACCCAAGACAGCTGTGTCTTTACACAAGCTAGTTTTCTATAACAGACTTTTTCCTTTTTGTTGAGGGGAGGGGTTACTAGTTGTGGAAGATTTGTATTCAAGTACAAGAGTGGGGGGGGGACCTTAAAATAGAGCGTGTATCCTCCTGGTTTTATTAGGAGCCAGGCTGACCACAGGCATTTCTTACTGTCCGTTCTTTGGGTCACCACCTCATTTCGTCTTGACATGCCATCCTCTCTATCCCCAACATTCTTCTGTCTCAGAATCCCCCCAACCTTCCCTCTGAGCTGTTTGTGATATCTTAGATTCTTTTTCCTTTATGACACAGGGAAGTTTTCTATTCTGTGTCTTTTTTCTACCTGTCCCTTACCATTCACTGTGGTTTATTCTCTAATTAGAAGACAGTTCACTCCTGAGGGAATGCTGCTACCAGGATTTCTTTCCTGGTATCCCTTAATCCTTGTATTATGAGGTCAACGGTACCTCTATTTTTTGTACAGTGAATCAAAAGCCAAAAGGTGTGTGAATCTATTAAACATAGGTGGCAGAATGAAGAGTTGAGCCAGAACTATTTGGTTTTAAAGGCAATGTGCTCTGCCCACCATCACAATGGAAATATTTAACTCAAAGATGTAAAAAGAGGAAAAAGTACATTGTGGGTATTCATTTTTGCATAATTAAAGTGGCCATTTGTTAAAATGGAATTTTCGACATTAACCTACCAAAGTGGCATTCTGGTTGTGAGGGTACCTTAAGTCTGGAGCAGTGATGGGGCGCCTGGGTGGCGCAGTCGGTTAAGCGTCCGACTTCAACCAGGTCACGATCTCGCGGTCCGTGAGTTCGAGCCCCGCGTCGGGCTCTGGGCTGATGGCTCAGAGCCTGGAGCCTGTTTCCGATTCTGTGTCTCCCTCTCTCTCTGCCCCTCCCCTATTCATGCTCTGTCTCTCTCTGTCCCAAAAATAAATAAACGTTGGAAAAAAAATTTTTTTTAAAAAAAGTCTGGAGCAGTGTTCATCAGACATGGCATTTGGTTCGTTGGAATGTGGGTGTGCTGAAGGCTACTCCAAATCACCTGAAATGGCTTATGTTTCTCATCATTAAAAGTTCTAAATTCCCTTTTCTACTAAGATAATCTCAGTGCAAATACATTTTGCAGCCTCATTTTCTGTAGTATGTTTCATGCATGATAGTTTTGTAATAGAATAGTACATCTCTAGATAGAGTAAATTCTTGTAAAGCAACTGCTTTCTTGCTTTCTTGCTTTTTTGATTTCATTTACTTTATCATTGATCCTCATTTACTTGGAAATTTTTGGTTAAGTTACCCAAATTAGCTACTCCAGTAAGCTTAAGACGAAGACCTGATACTATTATTCCATTTGTATTAAACTGATTTAATATCAAATAGTATTTCTTAATGATTGAAAAATATTGCCAATTGATTTGCAACAAATGGTTTCACAAAGAACATTTGTCACCTACTTTGAGTGACATAAAATATGGAGGGGATTTTTGTAGCTAAAATATAATATATTTTGGAGTGTATTAGGGCAAACAAGATATATAACAGTTGTTATCTTCAAAATGAAAACCTATTCTTTGAAGTCTCTTTTAGCTGTAAAGTTATTTCACCTTGTATTTTAGACAAAAGCCCAAATCATTCATTTTTAGTGTTAAAAAATCCCTTTTATATAGTTAAAGGTAGAAATGCTTTTCCACTTGAAAATTTCTGGACACAAATGACAGAACAGATTACTCTTTGGAAAATCCCTTATCTTTTTTAAGAAAGTTTTTAACTTGATATTGAAAGGTAGTGTTTTTTTTTCATATTCTTGAGTCTTCTATAGATGCCCAGTAGGAGGCTTTTAAACTTAATTTTCTTTTTTGTGTTTCCTTGTTGGCTGGCAGTAGGTTTTCAACTGACTGGCAGCATAGGCAAAGCTAAGACAATGAGTTCCTAGGAAGATAAAAAAGATTTGATAGGGTTGAAAAAATGAAAATTACTGGTGGAAATGTTTAAGGAAAAATTAGACTTGCTTCCTAAAAAAAAAAAAAAAATGTGGATATAAATTGAAGAAACCAGTGAATTGCTAATTGGTGGCCACAGTATGGGTTGGAAACTTGAGTAAAATCTAGACCCACTTTACCTTTCCCAATTGTTCTCTAAAGGAGTCCTCAGTTTCCCATAGATTGATGAAATCCACCTTCCTGAAAGCCACTGTGCACCAGACCACCCATGCTCCCTGTGCCCAACACATGCAGCTTCATGCTTTAAGGCTCTGCTTGCTGCTGTTTTAGCCTAAACAAGTCCAATCCTTCCTCTGTTAATCTGTACATTATTCTGTTCTAGTTTGTCCAAAAACTGCTTCTCCCAAGGCTGCTGTTCAGACTTGATGGGTCAGAATCACCTGGGGTCCAAACTGTAGCTTCTGGGGCTCACTCCAGGGATGAAACCCAGGAACCTTTCATTTTTGGCAAGAACCCCAAGAAATTCTAATATGCTAAAGTTTGAAAACCTTACATACTGACCACCATTTTTTAAATTTTTTTTTTTTAACATTTATTTATTTTTGAGACAGAGAGAGACAGAGCATGAACAGGGGAGGGGCAGAGAGAGAGGGAGACACAGAATCGGAAACAGGCTCCAGGCTCTGAGCCATCAGCCCAGAGCCTGATGCGGGGCTCAAACTCACGGACCACGAGATCATGACCTGAGCTGAAGTCAGACGCTTAACCGACTGAGCCACCCAGGCGCCCCACTGACCACCATTTTTAATATGAAGTTCTTCGCTCATATTCTTTTGGAAGGGAGTTTTTCTTCTTCCCCCTCCCCCTCTCTTCTTAAATTATAAGCCATCTTTGAAGGAAAATATGAAATACAGAAAAGCAAAACAAAATAAACTAGCATTCAGACACAATAGCACTAAACATTTTAGGGTGTATCCATTGTCTTTTATCAATGTAATTTTCTCCTATATAGTATAGTTTATATCACATTTTTAAATGAGAACATAAAGTCCTAATAAACATAAAAATTTATATACATACTCTTAATAGCATATTTTATGATACTGCTTCTTATCAGCCAAATATTACTAGGAACACAACCTGTTGCCAAAATTGGGCTTACTGCTGCAGTAAGGGAGCCATACCTTGAAAAACCATGGAATATCTCAAAAAGAGGGAGTCAGGTGAGCTTGGCACAAGGACTTGGGTAAGGTGATTTTAGGGAGGTTTAAAGAAAGTGAAGAGTCTATTCTGGATTAAGTGCTGCCAGAAAGCAGGAGAAATTGACTATTGGGTCTTTTAATTTTTATCCAGGAAGCTACAGGGACAGGCTAGAGTTTCACTGGAGAGGCAGTAGTAGTCAGTCCTGCAAGCCAGGAGAGGGGGGTATTTGATCATTTTTTTGTGGTTACCCAGCTTTCCACCACCCCCCCCAACACTCACTTATTACATTTCCATTTAAGCAGCATTATGC